ATCATCATCATCATCACCATCATCATCATCATCATCATCATCATCATCATCATCATCATCATCATCATCATCATCATCATCATCATCATCATCATCATCATCATGATCATCATCATCAACATCATCATCATCAGCAGAATCAGCAGCAGCAGCATCAGCATCAGCATCATCATCATCGTCATCATCATCATCGACATCATCGTCATCATCGCCATCATCATCATCATCATCATCATCATCATCATCCTCATCCGCATCCTCATCCTCATCCTCATGCTCCTCCTCCTCCTCCTCCTCATCATCATCATCATCATCGTCAGCACCTCGTTACCGTCATCATCATCATCACCACCATCCTCATCAGCATAATCATCACCGTCACCATCATCTGCATCGTCATCGTCATCATCATCACCAGCATCATCGTCGTCGTCGTCGTCATCGTCATCAACCTCGTCAATATCATCACCATCACCATCACCACCAACATCATCATCCGCATCATCACCATGGTCAGCATGCTCATCAACAACCAGCATCATCATCATCAGCTTCATCATCATCGTTTGTATCATGAGCCCCACCATCAGTTTCCTCATCATGCTCATCATGTGAATCATGCTCATCACCAGCAGCAGCGACATAATCATCATCCTCATCATCACCATCATCATGATCAGCAGCATCATCATCACGGTCGTAAGCATCATCACCACAATCATCAGCTGTGTAATCATCATCATCAGCATCATCATCATCATCATCATTATCGTGATCGTCCTCATTACCGTCATCATCATCATCACCATCCTCTTCATCATAATCATCATCATCACCAACATCATCATCATCATCATCGTCATCGTCATCATCATCATCACCAGCATCATCATCGTCGTCATCGTCATCGTCATCGTCATCAACCTCGTCAACATCATCACCATCACCATCACAACCAACATCATCATCAGCATCATCACCATCATCAGCATTCTCATCAACAACCAGCATCATCATCATCGCTTGTATCATGAGCCCCACCATCAGTTTCCTCATCATGCTCATCATGTGAATCATGCTCATCATCAGCAGCAACAGCATCATCATCCTCCTCATCACCATCATCATGATCAGCAGCATCATCATCACGGTCGTAAGCATCATCACCACAATCATCAGCTGTGTAAGCATCATCATCAACATCATCAGCGTCATCATGTTCCTCGTCACCTTCATCATCGTCACTATCAGTATTGCAGTGGCCGTGATCTTCATCGTCATCCTCATCATCAGTATCGTCAGCAACCTGTTCATCCGAATCATCATCGTCATCACCATCATTATCCTGATCATCAGCATCATCAGCATCATCATCACCATCCTCATGCTCCTCATCATCATCAGGAGCAGCCACATCATCATCAGCATCATCAACACCATCACAATCATCATTATCCTCACCACCATCACCATCATCATTATCATCATCAGCAACCACATCACCACAATCGGCATCATCCTCAGCAGCCACATCATCATCATCAGCATCATAATCATCATCAGCATCATCACCATCACCTTCACTATCACCATCATCACCATCTCACCAATATTACCATCACCATCACCATCACAACCATCACCATCACCATCAGCACCACCACCACCACGATCATCATCATCATCATCATCAGCAGCAGCAGCAGCAGCATCAGCATCAGCATCAGCATCAGCATCATCATCATCATCATCATCATCATCATCATCATCATCATCATCATCATCATCATCATCCCTATCGCCATCACCATCATCATCTTGACCATCCTTTTTCACCCTGTCCTGTTCCTGCTCCTGCTCATCCTTGATCCTCGTTGTTCTCCTCCTCCTCATACTCCGTCCGTCGTTCCTCGCTCGTTGCCATCCTCCCAGCTTCTCTTTATCCCCCTCTTGTCCCCCTCTTCTTGGCCCGCTGGCTGTGCAAACACCCGTGAGGAGAGGTTAGGATCCCTCCCTCTTCCATGAGGGGCTCGAACCGACCTGGAGACCGTCAGCCGATGAATCCTAAGACCTACGTAACCGGCTGGACCGAAGCCGAGATCGAACGGGCGAGCCGAAACAGGCAAGCCCCAACCGGACAGGCAAGCCAAAACCGACCTGGTCGGCCAAACGGAACTGGCTGGAGGAAGAGTCTGCCTCCAGGCCTCCTGTGACTGTGGCCTTTCGCTTCACTTCCCCCCGACCGCTCCGGCCATCAGGTTCGGTAGAACAAAAACTGTCGCAACGCCACGAACAGCAAACGGAGGAGGAGGTGGAGGAGGATGAGGATGGAAAACCCACCGACATAGCATGGAACTCTCATAATCAACACTAGATAAGCTGCTCTAAATGAGCACTCCATCGTTCACGCGGAGGCCTGTACCCTACGAGCAGGAACCTACGAGCTAGTGGGTAGAATGAATCAGGCCAACGAGGCAAGAAAACTGTGGGCGGGACTCCATGGGCAAACACGGGGGCACGTAACGCCGCGGCTCTGTGGGCTGGGCCTGTCGGCAACCCCAGGGAAGCTAGCTCACAATGCATCTGAAATCCCAAACTAACCAACATTTTTCTCGTGAATCACTACACAAGGAAACCGATGCCGGGGCCTCATGGGCGAGGCTCTATAGGCCACCGACAGGGCACCGAGGGCCAACGCAACATGGGCAAGACACTACGCATGGGCAGCAACCGGGAAGACTCAAGACAGCTCACAGGAAAACGAAGGCGGACGGTCCTCATGGGCGCCATATGACACAAGGCAAGACACCCATGGTGAAGCCGGTGCTTGGGGGGGACAGAGGCGAAGAGGTGAGCCAGCGGCGATGTGGTGCTCGCAGCGCACGCGTACGGACAGCCCGATCGCACGCGCACGACACGAGAGAGCGCGCCAGAACGGCAGAGGGAACGAAAGCCAGCTGCCGGTGCCTCGGGACAGACGCGCAGAGGGACCGCACTAGGCCCGCGGCGGCGGCAATAATCGGCGGCGTGAGCCCGGCGTCGATGTGCGCGACGAGCCTCCCCTCCCTGCAGCGACGTCCCTTCCAAAACTTTTGGCATCCGGCACCGTGCCGCGGGGCGCTCGGTGGAGTGCCCTCAAGCTCCTTCGCTCGCCATCGCTCGGACGTCCATTCCCTGTGCTCTTGTTCGGCTTCGTGCGTGGCTTCATCCCCGAATTCATCAGGGATGCTCCTCGATTGTCCTCGCCGAACAAGACATGCACACGTCCGAGCGATGCCAAGTTCGGGTTTTCCGTGCCGAGAAACGAGCTGCTCTTCAAGGAGCCCGGATCCCCAGCTCACGGATCTGCCGAGGCGGGCCGCGTGACCTCCGGGGATCGCCGCGCGCCTCTCCCCCCGAAGCCGGGCGCCTCTGACAAGCATCGGAGACGGGAGACCGAGCTGGCCCCCCAGGAGCCCTCCGACTCCAGTGCTGGGATGGCCTCCGAGACCACCGAGAGGCTCCCGAGAGGTCACCAGAGGCACCCGCGACGCTCCCAGGAGGCGCCCAAGAGGCCACCAAAGAGGAGCTCGAGACGCGCAAGAGGCCCCACTAGAGGCACCCCGAGAGGCCCCCAGAGGATTCTGAACCACAACCCAGAGACGGTGGCGAGATGGGCCGAAGGCCACCGAATCCGCCGCCCCCTGAATCCGCCTCGAGAATCACTGCGTGCTGGATGTTCGGTAATGTTTGGTCGATTGTGCCGGCCACCCGGAAGGACCCGCCAAGTGCAGATCCCGTCGGACTTCCAGTGCAAGACGGCCGAGGGCCTCCCAGACGGCCAAGATGGCCTCCCAGACGGCCAAGATGGCCTCCAAGACGGCCAATGTAGCCCAAGATGGCCTCCAAGACTGTCTCAAGACGCCTCCAAGACGGCCAAGATGGCTCCGAGACGGCCTAAAATGTCCTTCAGATGACCCAGGAGGCCCCCAAGACGCCCCAAGTCAAGTGGGCTCCATGAGAACCTCTTGGAGGCCAAAATCATCGATTTCCCTACTGTTTTCAGTAAGCGTAGAGGTCTTGCCTTTTCGGGCTTCCGACGCTTCAAGACGACCCCATAGGCCCCCACGAAAGCCCAAGACGGCCCCAGGGGCCCCCAAGAGGCCCGCAAGACGGCTCCAAGAGGGCCCCAAGACGGCCCAAGAGGCCCCCAAGATGGCCCAGAGACCTCCAAGACAGCCCTAAAGCGCCCACAGAGGGGGACCCACGACTGCACAGCGAGGGCCCCCCAAGACGGCCTCCGAAGGTAAGAGGCTCCTCAGAGGCCCCCCGAAGCCGCCAAGAGGCCCCAGGAGGCCCCACAAGAGGCACCAGGAGGCCCCCAAGAGACCCCTCAAGTGACTCCTCAGAGGCCTCCACGCAATTCACGGGAAGCCCTCAGGAAGCCACAACACGGCCTCAAGAGGCCTCTTCCTCCTCCTTCTCCTCCTCCTCCTCCTCCTCCACCTCATTGTCCTCCCTCCTCCTCCATTCTTTTGCTCTCCCAAATGTTCCCCCAAAAGGTTCCACAACGGCTGGGGGAACACGTAATCCTATATCTTGGCCAGGCGGAGCGATTGGCCGCATGGGCGCTTCCAGAAGGCAGGTGGCGGCGGTGACTCGCCGTTGGCGTCTTCGATCCACCGCCCCCTGTGGCTTGCCTCAGGGGTGCATGGCGTGCCAAACGTTCGGTAGTTGCTGATTCTTTTCAAAATTACCCATGAGCCTTCGGTTAAGTCGGGCCTGTCCCCCTACAGGGGAATTTTCGACGAAAAATAAAAGATACCCCAAAAATAGTCAAAAAATAATCCAAAAATAGTGTGGGGACTATTTTTTTGAGTATTTTTGTTGCCTTTTTGGAGTATTTTGGGGGTATTTTTATTTTAGGTAGGGGGACACGCCCGACATAAATCTTGGGCCGTCTTGGAGACATCTTGGGCTCTCTTGGGGCCCTCGTGGCCGTCTTTCGGGGCATTTCTGGGTTGTTTTTTATTTGTCGTCGAAAATCCTCCTGTAGGGGGACAGGCCCGATTTGAGCCTTCGGTCCCGCGCGCCGGCCCCCCGCAGAGACCCACAGGCTGCCCAGGTCGAGGGGGGGCCGTCCCGCATCCAGGCGGCGCCGAGGCGGCCTCCGAGGCGGCCGAGGTATGGTGCCACAAACCGGCCACGAGGGCCCCAAGAGAGCCCAAGAGGGCTTCAAGACGTCTCCAAGACGGCCCAAGATTTTTATGTCGGGCGTGTCCCCCTCCTGCCGGGGGATGTTCGACGAAAGGATAAAAATACCCAAAAAAATACCTCAAAAAAAACAAAAAAGTACTCAAAAAAATAGTCCCCAGACTATTTTTGGAGTATTCTTGGACTCGTTTTGGGGTACTTTTTATTTTTCGTCGAAAATCCCCCTGTAGGGGGACAGGCCCGACATAACCCAAGATGCACCCAAGATCATCCAGGGCGGCTCCAAGATGGGCCCAAGATGACCCGAGGCGGCCCAAGAGCGCCCCGAGAGGCCCCCGAGAAGTCCTCCGGGAGAGGCCAGTGAGATCTCTCCTCCGATTCTTCTTTCTCTCCCACGTGTTCCACGAATCGGTCCTACAACGGCTGAGGAAGCACATGATCCGATACCTTGGCCACAGCGTTCGGCATCATAGGCGCTTCCAAAAGGCAGGGGGTGGAGGTGATTCGCCGCAGGCGTCTTCGATCCGCCGCCCATGTGGCTTGCCACAAGGGATCACAAGGGTGCACGGCGTGCCAAACTTTGGTCGGGCATTGGTAGAACTGGGTTTAACGGAACCTGGTTTCATGATCTGTACCGGGGGCGCCCCCCCGTCCCATTTCCACGAACCGGAACTGCCGTCACCCAAAAAAAAACACGAGCTATGGCAAACCTGGTTTCGTGATTCTGGCCAATTCAAGGGCTCTGGGGCCCTACCACTAACCGGGTCCCCGTACCCGGGGTCCTGGCCATACCCGAGTTGGGCGGCCGTTGGTCTCTTTGGAGGAGGGTTCCCAAGGGGGTCTCAGCCGCTCGTGCTGGCCACCCGGGAGGCTGCACAAAACGCGTCGCACGTGTCTCGAATCGCTTCCGGGACGGCCAAGGTGGCCCCGGATGGCATCAAAGATGCCGCCAAGACTGCCAATGTGGCCTCCAAGACGGCCCAAGATACCTTCCAGACGGCCCAAGGAGGCCCCCCCCAAAGGACGCCTCAGAAGGGCTTCAAGAGGACCTCCTGGAGACAAAAATCGTGGACTTCCCGTCGGTTCTTCAATGAGTTTGACGTTCTCGCCTCGTCGGGCTTCCGACGCTTCAAGACGGCCCCAAAGGCCCCCAAGATCGCCCCAAGACGGACCTAGATGCCCCCAAGAGGCCCGCAAGACGGCCAACGAGGGCCATGCGGCCCCGAAGACGGCCAGCGCAGAATGGTTTGTTCTGTGATGGATGTCGCAAATCCGTGTGTGCGGTCTCGTGGGCGAGGAACTAGACCCTGGGTGCAAGCGATCCAGCGAAGATGGAGCCCTGGAGAGAAGGCTTGGGGTGCAACTATTGTATATAGAGAAGGTAACGAAACAGCTCGCAAGCCACCTGCAGCCCAGAGTTCTGGTGGGATTCGCACAAATTTCCACTCCGAGCTCTACAGAACGGCCCTAAAGCGCCGAAGAGGGACCAACGACTGCCCAGAGAGTCTCCGCAGACCACGAAGCCCCACAAGAAATAGTCCAAAAATAGTCCAAAAATAGTCAGGGGACTATTTTTGTTAGTGTTGAGCGGTATGTGAGGTGGAGGTCGGATCCTTTTCACCTCAGGCCTGGGCGATCTTGATCACAAAATGGATTCAGCCAAACGTACATGCATGCAACGCTTCATTATCCTCGCTCGGAACCCGTCGAATCTCTGCACGCCCCCTGAGGGCGATGTCGGAGGCTCTACGAGGCGGCTAATCAGACCGCTCAACGAGGAACAGTACACAACAGTCAAGGAAACCTGTTCTTGCGAACCACTGGCAAAACATGCCGCTGCGGTGTCGCTCAAGCCCTTCCGCTGGTGGTCCTCTCGACCCTCCAGCGGGATACCGCATCAGGCTGCTCACTTCACTCAGCCCAGGCACCCTGAGCTCTCTCTCCCGGTGGAACAAACCTAGGACTCTCTCGATGCCAAGAGTATGTCACCTGGCTCTGTGTCGAGATGGTCCTGCACTCGACCTTCCCCTTCTTGGCCTTGGTGGCCCTCTGGGAGAGCTCCACTTTCTCCTTCATCTGCTTGCTCTCCTCTGTGCGGTTCGGCCTCGTGAAGTAGCCGACGCACCAGCCAGCACAGCCGCCAACTGCGCATGCCACGATCACCATGAAGATCATGGCCACGATGAGCATCATGCCCTGGAGGTGCACGCCAGTCCCGAGACGGGTGTCCTTCAGGATGATATCCTTCTCGTCCGTCTCGTAGCCGTAGACGTCGCACTCACCGTCTGCCTTCACCGAGCCCAGGCTGTCCAGGAGAGCGACCAGGGCCGCGCCGACCCTCGCCATCTTGGACGTCGAGTCGCTTGACCCGAACAGCCGTGCTCTCTTCCACGCCATCCGCGCCTGCCCACGGGCGCCTCCCCAACTGCGCCCTCCGCCAGTGGAACCTCTGACTCGTCAGCGCCTTGGTGCCCACGTCGGCTAGGTTCGTCCCCCCAGCCTGCTTGACCACCACCAGCTTCTCGTCTCGCACCTTGGCCTGGAGCCACAGAGTGCGGACTTCAAGATGGCGAATCCTCCCCACTCCGATGCGGTGGCAGACCGCCTTCCCCGCAGCAGAGTACATGCGGATCCTGATCTTCACGTTCATGTCCAGGAAACCCATCACGCTCTGGAGATGGATCGCCTCGGCAGCTGCCGTCACTGACGCGCAGTACTCTGCCCCCCCTGAGCTCAACGCTTGGCTGCTCTGGCCGCGCGAGTACTCGAGAAGCGTGCAGCCGCCGCAACACAACACCCCGCACGAAACACTCTTTCTGTCGATGGTGTCTCCAGCCCAATCCGAGTCGGTATAGCACTCCAAAATATCTACCTCTCCAGCTCTAGGAAAGAACAGTGCATAGTCACGAACTCCAAGTAGATACCTGCCGAGGTGCTTGAGCCTCTTCATGTCGTTGTCGGTGGGCGCAGCCAGCCTCTTGCTCAGCACGTGAACGGCGAACGTGACCTCCGTGACTTGATTGACCATGTACCTCGCGATGCCCACGCACTGTCGGTAGACACTGGTCTCCTCGGCGTTCAGAGGATGCCCGCTGTCTTCCTTCAGCAGCTTCGCCACGATGGGCGTGGGCGAGCTCTTTGCCTTGCCGAGGTTCAGTAGCTCTATGATCTTGTCCGCGTACTTCTTGTTGCCCATCAAGAACATGCCACCCTCGACTCTCACTCGCCCTCCTTTCAGATGCTGGTACTTCGCACCCACCTTGAGTAACTTGCTCACCGTGATCTTGACCTCACTGCCGAGCTCGGTCGTGAATGCCTGGAGCTTGATGTCGTCAGCGGTCGCGTAGATGCCATCCTGATGAAGCTCCAGGTCCACTGAATCCCGTTCTCGACGATAGAAGCATGGCTGGTCAAGACGAGAGTGCGGTTCATGAAGTCGCTGAAACCTCTGCTCGCGTCCCTCTCGCCATAGAGCTTCTTCTTCATCCTCCACATCGTCCTCGCGGTGTTGCCCTTGAGTGCCTCTGCCTCGATCCACTCCCGAGGCGGCACAACTGCCACTAGCCTGTCTTGGTCCGCGTGGAAGTAGGCGTTGACAGCGTTAATGATGACGGTGGGCTGATTCCGCTTCACCGCCTTGAAATCTATGAGCCTGCCAGTCGTGGGTTCGCTGGCCGGCGTGAATAACCCCTCGCGCTCGGGGTCCATGCTCTTGAACTCCCTGGCGACGAAGCGACAGCGAATCTCTTCGCCCTTCTCCTGGTACACCCACTTGGTCGACAGCCTTGTCCAGGTAGAGTCTATCTCGTCAGGCGACGCAGCTTCGAACACATCGAACTCCTGCATCGTGTTGATATCCTTGCACTTGCCTGCCTTGATGAGGTCAACGTCGTACTCGCCCTCGTGCCAGTCGATGTCCATCTCTGGATCCATGACGGGCATCGGGTCGATCTCGTCCATCACGAAGCCGTCGACGCCTCCAACGGTGCCCATCTCGATTTCTGGGACCTCTGACTCCCCAGTCGGCTGGGCGGGACGAGATGATGAGCTGCCGCCTGCCTCTTGCCTCGGTGTGGGGCGCCCCGCATCCTCCATGTGGCCGCTGCCTGTCCTGCTCCTGGCACTCGCGTAGCTGCGCCCGTCCTCGGCAACTCCCTTCTCAACCGCGGTGTCTGGGACCTTCTTCTCCTCCTTGGCGTCGTCGACCTCTGCCTCCTCCTGCTTCTTCTCAGGCGGGGCAGTTGGGAGAATGACCACCCTCTTGCCTTTCGGCCTTCCGATCTGGCCGATGCCTCGGCCCCAGGGGACCCCGACCATCTTGGCCACGAGCTCGAGGTCGCATTGGCCTTCCTCTGGGAGCCTGCGCACGGCCCTGACCAACTGCACCCCGCTGCTCGCCCCCATGAGGAACTCGTCGCTCTCGTAGGTCTTGCCCAAAAAGATGCCCTTCTCCCACATCGACTTTGACTTGCGACTGCGCCTGCCTCCAGTCATCTGGCCACTCGACGACATCGGATGCTTGAACATGGCGGCCTCTGCGAACCTCAGGACGACGCCATGATACTTGGTGCCAGTCGCATCCTGATGAGGAGTCCGTCCGTTTGACTTTATGTGGAACATCTCCGTGATGAAGCCCACGTGTCTAACAAGCCACGGCCACAAAACAGGACCTGGTCCTATCTTGATACCCATCACCTTCTCTGTAACAACTCTGATCGCCCTGGTCTGGCCCTGCAAGATCTTCTGCTGCGCCCCCACGGCCCCGAGCGACTGCGACGAGTACCTGGGGGCCTGCTCCACTGTGACCTTGTAGTTGCCGAACTTGAGCCTCTTGGCCGCCACCGCGTTCGCTATTCTGACGATGCTCGGCTCTCCGTCACTCCTGAGCCTGAGCTGCGCGGCGCCCAGCCTCCTGAGGAAGCTCGCGATCGAGGTCGCCGCATAGTCATGGTTGCCTCCCTTCTCTGGAAGGCTGAGCTGCAGAGGGACGCCCGCGTCGAAGTCGATGACGGCCAGCGTGGTGGAGAAGCGGTTGGCCGCATCCTCTGCCTCATGGCCGTCGTCCTTCAAGAAGCGGTAGTCTATCTGCACGACAGGCACCTCTGGCTCCTTGTCCGTGAGAAACTGGACTCCCCGATGGGGTGCAGCATCTCCCTTTCCGAACACGCACTCCAGGCACCAGGGCTCGAACTTCGCGCGGGTGAGCTCCTGCTTCCTCACGGTCTCCGCGCCTGGTCTCTCTGGGATCTTCAGCGCCCTCGGTACTTCGGGATCAACGCCTTCCTGGAGTCGCCGTTGGCGCTCCTCGAGGGCCATCTTGACCTTCATCTTCTCATCCAGCTGGTGATCGCACTTGACGAGCCTCTCCCACAGCTGCTCCTTGGTGCCGTAGATGGCTGCATCGATGATCCCAAGCCTCCGCAGTTCCTTCAGGCGTGCCCTCAGCGCCTCGACCGACGACTGGGAGCCTAGGTTCTCTCGTGGTTGTCCTGCCTGTGGTGGTGCAGGTACAGCTTGAGGTTCTGGTGGTGGTGCTGGCGCTGGCTCTTGCTCTTGAGCCGCTGGGTCGACCACAGGTGCCACTCGATGTCTGCGAGCACCCGCCTCCAGCACCCGACACTTCGCGTAGAAGCTCTTCCCTATCATCGTCAGGGGTATCCTCCTCTGAATGTCATTCACGCTTGGCGGGGCCATGTAGCTGTTCCCCGTCTCAAGGTGGATGGCAGCCCCTCTCATGACCCTGATGCCGCAGCTGAGCACAGGCTTGCTGAAGTCCCCGATGCGGAATCGGTTCGTGGCCATCACCTCGTGGCCTGTCTCGTCCAGGAACGCGATGCCGACGTTCCGCTCGCCGTAATCCTGGATCTCGTCGTTCGTGGCCGTCCTCAGCTCCACTCTAGTGGGATCGTCGACGTCGTCGCTCGAGTGACCGAAGCCGAGGGGACACCCATCGGCGTCCGACCCGCTGTCGATCGAGACCCACACGTACTTGCTGCTGTCACTGATGGTGTTCACACTCTCAGCGACGCCCATGACCCACAGCTCGTCCTCCTCGTTGACTATCCTCTTGACTTCAGCATTCTCTGGCTTCGATCTGCACTCCGAAGCCTTGTGGCCTTGCTTCCCGCACCTGTCGCACTTGATGTGTGATCTGCAGTCCTTGGCCTCGTGGCCTGGCTTCCCGCACTTGTCGCATTTTTTCTTATCCTTGCCTCCCTTGCCGCCTTTCTTATCCTTGCTCTTGCCCTTCATCTGGTTCGCTGATCCACCTCCTGGGGCCCAGCAGTCTCTTGACCAATGGCCTCGCTCGCCACAGTTCTTACAGGTGTCGCGATCCATGTCCCGACCCTTTCCGGCATCAATCCTCGCTTGCTTGCCGTGCCCCTTTGGAGGTTTGAAAATGCCACCTACGTTTCCATTCTCATTCACCAGCCCAACGTCCATAGGCATGGGCCCGTCGTACTGGATGCCGTGGGGCGCTCCCGTGGTCTCGTAGACCTTGCCACTGGCGATGTAGTCCGTGACGACCTTGGCCAGCTTGTTGTAGTCCTGGCCGATCGCCCCCAGGGCTTGGCGGACCACGGCCTTCACGTCCTCTGGAGCCCACCTGACCACGACAACAATCCTCGTGCCTTCCGTGACTCTCCAGGGACTGGGCCTCGTAGAGCGAGACGCTCTTCTCCGACTCCTTCCAGGCTGCCTCCCAGGTGCGGACGCCGCCCCTGATGGCCGTCTCCCACTCGGGCTTCAGCACTCCCATGAGCATCGCCGTCAGCCTTCCGCCAGACTTCGGCTCGTACTCTTCTTTCAACTTTTTCCAGCCTATGGCACCGTTGTTCTTCGGCACCATCTGGAGAATCGTGAGGGCCTTGCCTCTCGTCGTGGCGATCAGCAGGTGGTACAGCACCTTCATTCTCAGCTGGACCCTCTCCGACTGTGTCGCCCAGCCTAGCTCAGTCTCCTCTGTGACCTCGCAGTGCGTCATGATCTGCTCTAGGTCGACGAGCCCTGCCGTCGATTCGAACACGAAGCACCATTGCCTCCATTCCTCATCAGCGCCCGAGAAGATCCCAATCCTGCTCAGGATCTTCGTGTCCACGATACTCTCGAGCCGTTTGTCGTCGGCCCCTGCTTCTGGCCTCTGGGCGCCCTCCGTCAGTCTCTGGATCTGGGCTGCCTGCTCACCGACCACTCGCTGCAGCTCCTGCAGGGCCGCCTCCATCGCGGCCGTGGTTGCAGCCGATCACGCTCCAGCTACCATGTTGAGCGGTATGTGAGGTGGAGGTCGGATCCTTTTCACCTCAGGCCTGGGCGATCTTGATCACAAAATGGCTTCAGCCAAACGTACATGCATGCAACGCTTCATTATACTCGCTCGGAACCCCTCGAATCTCTGCAGTTTGTATATTTTTACCTTTTGGGGTACTTTTAGAATATGTTTCATTTTTCGTCGAAAATCCCCCTGTAGGGGGGCACGCCCGACTTAAGCCTAGAGCGGCGAAGAGGGACCAGCGACTGCCCGGAGAGCCTCCGAAGACCACGAAAAAAGCCCCTTCAGAGGCACCCGCAGGCCCCATCCAGGATGCCCCCTGCAGGGGCAACCCGGCGGCCCCCAGGAAACCTCCAGGAAGCCACAGCACGGCCTCAAGAGGCCTCCTCCTCCTCCTCCTCCTCCTCCTCCTCCTCCTACTTTCTCTCCCCAGTGCTCCCCAAAGGGGTTCCACACCAGCTGGGGGAAGACCTGTTGCTTGCCACGAGGGTGCACGGCGTGCTGGATTTTTTTGGTTGTTCGCATAACGATGAGAAAAAATCCCAAATGGGGTGTCGGCCCAGCCTGGCGGCCACCTGGAAGGACCGATAGAGCCGCGTAGATCCACAAGCAATCTCTCCAGGACGTCCAAGATGGCCTCCAAGAGTGCCAAGAAGCCTCCAAGACGTTCACATAGGCCCCAACACGGCCCAATAATGCCCTCCAGACAGCCCAAAGAGACGCCCAAGACGCCCCAAAAAGAGATTTCTAGAAGCCCTCCAAGAGGCCAGCATCATTTATATCCCGTTGGTTTCTCAATGACTTTGGCGCGGTCGCCCTTTTGGGCTCCCGACGCTCCACAGCGGCCCGGAAGCCCCCAAGATCGCCCCAAGACTGCCCGAGAGGCCTCACGGGCCTCCAAAACGGCCCCAAAGCGCCCAAAGGAGGACCCGCGACTGCCCAGAGAGGCCCCCAAGACGGTCTCCGAAGACCAAGAGGCCCCTTTGAGGCCCCCGAGAGGCCCCCGAGAGAGCACCCACCGAGGGGCTCCAAGGGGCCCTGGGGGGGCCCCAAGAGGTCCGGCAGAGGCCGGAAGCCCCCACGACCTCCTTTTCCCTCTCCTCCTCCTCCTCCTCCTCCTCCTCCTCCTCCTCCTCCTCCTCCTGCTCCTCCTCCTCCTCCTCCTCCTCCTCCTCCTCCTCCTCCTCCTCCTCCTCCTCCTCCTCCTCCTCCTCCTCTTGTGGATACTGCGTGGTAGCCCCCGCGGATTTTATTTACTTTGCCAATAAATCGAAATCCGAGATTGATTTCTTCCTTAACCCCACGTCCCTTTTCCCTTGTTTCAAGGATTCCTGCAGACACCAACTTTTGCGCAGCGGCGATCGTGGGTAATCGCTCAGTGACCCTGAAGATAGACTTCAACAAGTTGACACCAACGAAAAGACGAACAGAACACCAACCCATGACAATTGTTGCCTGGACACCGCGGGGCCTCACGATGCCGGGCGGAAATCGTGCAGTTGAGTTTCGGCATGCCCGATTCCTCCCTATCGGCCGCCTGAGGGTTATGGTGCGGACCGCACGAGGCACAACTGGAGTGGGTAAATCCTGCCCCCCACACGACCCTGAGGGTTCCGAGGGACGTCGTCTGTGCGCTCCCCACCTCCAATGTGTGACACCTGGTGACTGTTCGTGGTAGCGCTATCTGCAGTCGTGCCACGATGCACCGCAGAGGAAGCACACCATATGATTGAGTAGCCCAGGGCGCGCCGCACACCAATGGATTTGTTAGTCCAGGGCGCGACTCACACCAGAAGATCTTTGTTCCGTCGGGCCAGCGTGCCCTCCGTGGTGGTGACACCAGGGAACTTGGCTTGAGGCGCCCCAGTGCCATACTACCTCAAGCCCTCCTCCTCCTCCTCCTCCTCCTCCTCCTCCTCCTCCCCCTCCCCCTCCCTCTCTCAATTCCTTTATCTTCCTCTCCCCGGTGTTCCCCAAATGGGTTCTACAACAGCAGGGGGAACACGTGGTCCAATCGCTTTGCCAGACTTCGGGCCCAACGGTTGGCCGCATGGACATTTGCAGAAGGCAGGTGGCAGCGGTGGTTCGCCGTAGGGGTCTTCGATCAGCCTCCCCATGTTGATTTATCAAAGGGGTGCATGGCGTGCCGAACGTGTGTATATATACATGTACTGCAGTGGCGCTTCGCGCCATGCACCTTGGTCCTTGAGGTTTGGTATGACAGCGGAAAGGCAGGAAAGTCAAGCCGACAATTTCGCGATAACTCTTTGTTGCCTTTTCCAGCATCGCCGTTCTAATGATGTTATTCGTAATCCTTCCTCCATGCTTCTTTTTCCTGATTCTCGCCACACCCTGCGCATTCTCCCCATCCTCCTTCGCTCTTTGCGAAGGCCCCTCCTTCCAGAGCCTCTGGGGGTCTCACAAACGTTTTCAAGCTTTCTTAAGGCCTCGTGGAGGCCTCCTGGGCGTGTTCTGAGTGCCTCTGGGGGCTTCCTCGGGCCACCCTGCCTCCAACCGCGGTCTCCCTGAACGACCGG